CCCAAGAACCCGGCAGATGAGCACTTGTTGCCCGGCGATGTTGAAGTGGAACACATGAGTCGTGTGTCCACCTAACAATTGCAATGACCGCAATGGCCTCCACCTAATTGCAATGGCTTCCACCTACTAGCGATGGCCCCCACCTAATAGCGATGGCCTGGAATAGAATTGCAATTTTGCTTCAACACCATTTGTCCAGTCTATTTGGCGCCTTGTGCCAGTAGATTGGTGCGCCGTGGTCGGTTTCCACATCCATTTCGAGATGGTTCTTGAATGGCTAAAGGATGCTAAAGGCTAAACTAGACAAACATAGCAAATCAGAAAGAAAGACATCCCAAAACACATCCAAACCCAGACCCCCTAAGCTGATGAGACTCGTCGCCAGGAGAGGCTCTGTGGACCTCAAGTCCTGGGAGGAGCTGTCCGCGACTCGTCGGTGGTTTCGGCGGAAATCTCTGGCAGGGCTGCGGAAAAAAGTGAGGGTAGATTCCTAGTGGCCCATGGATTCTTGACAGCTATATAGTTGCCAAGAATCCATAAGAATCCAATATTATACGATTGTTTCACGAGAACTGGTTTGCCCTTGGCTCATGTGGCATCTCACATCGGAAAGCTCTGGGCGGAAGCCACTTGATCCCATGTGTCCGGCGTGCCTTTGCTTCGTACTACGCAGCACATGTAGATCGACAAATTTTAGACCGGCTACCCGTCGCCATCAATGCGCTAAGTGATTCAGAAGCTCTCCCTAAGCTTTCCAGCTCCGATGATGAAAGCTCCTACCCTACCGGCAGCTTGCAAAATGCTCGTGAACAGGGTCAACCAACTGCGAAACAGGAGCTCGGCCAAATGGTCCTGCCGCTGTGCCACGGGTCTCTGCTACGCGACATGCCTTTGCCGCCAGGCGGAGGGGTTGACGACTCAAGGGAGCAGAGTCGGGTTCCAGATGAAGAGCCATCCGCAAGATAATAGAAAATGGAAAGAGAGCAAACAAGTCCATGCTTCTAGTGGGGAAGAGGGGAGATCAACATTTGGTCCAATTCAAGTGAAGGAGTGAACAGAGCAAAAGGGAACGCCGCATGTGTCATGGTGTGTCATGGTCCATTGAGGTTGTGGCAGGAGTTGAAAGGCCAATGTGTGTGGGAGGTGTTGAGCTTTGTGTGCGTGTGTGGGTTGGCTGAATCATGATGAGTACGGGCATCATGTGGCCCTGCGACGGGCAATGATGCGAGGATGCGAGGCAAGAGTTTGGCCCAGGTTTGGCAATGTTTGACCTGGATTTTGATTGTTGCGCGCGCAGGCTATTCATCTTCCACGTTGCAAGGGTGGTCTGCGATGTGCCCTGACAGTTATTGACAGTGCCTCGGGATCCAGGAGTTTGGACTTCAAAGGCTGAGAAGCATAGAGCTGTTGTTGAAAAAGAAGTCCTGCACCAGCTGAAGCCATCTCGAACCACTTGCAGGCCCCGTGAAGTCTCTGATGTAGACTCTCGATAAAATTAATACACCCACCCCAACGGGGCCGCAGGAGTAAACAACGATGGTGGCAGACGGCAGACGATGATTTGTCCACTCACTGAGAGCTGTGAAAAGTAAGGACCCCTTTTTGGAACCTCTGGTGTTTTGTTCAATTGTCCAGGTAGTTTATGAACATGTGATTTTTTTGAACTCATAATGGAGTTTTTCCGTTGGAGGTGTTGCCTTCTCAGCGGAGTGTAGGCTGCAGAGGCTCTTGGGCAACCACAGTGATCATAGGAAGAGTCAACCAACAATGCCATGTCCCAGAGCCACCCGAAACGTTCACAACAAATCCCACCAATTCCACCAACAACACGAACTGAACCTGAACCAACATCACAAAATAATGGCTTTTCGCTTCAAGTTGGATGCGCGAACCTTGGTTCGCACGTGCCGTGGCGACAACTTGGTCCCCCCGCAGATCTGTGAAGCCATCAATCCACCTGTGATGGCTGCTTACCCATTGTGATGTCATTGGGATGTTCACCAGGCTTGGGCCAATTAAGTGCCTGAAGTGAAAGATCTTTTACTGTACGTATTTGTGTATGTCATGTTCATAAAGGGCGCGAGATTTCAAGAGCTTCTGGCCTCCTATTTAAATGGATATATATATATAACTACCATAAGGGCGTTTGGATGCATGTTTCAGCAATGCCCAACTGACATCTACAGGCCTCACCCTTGGATCTCTCCAAGGCCTGTCCCTGACGACCCCAGTTGCGGCTATGACACCTGCAGGCTGGCCCGCAGGGTCTGGCCGAGCGGTTTCCCAGCACCCGTAGTTGCTTTCGATTGGAAGATGCTAAGTCCTCACCCAATGGGAAGGGACCCACAAGCGCGTCAATTCGGATATGCAAAGTATATAAATACTGGCACTGGTGTTCGTGCAGATGGTCACAACTGATGTGACCCATAGGGCAAACCAACAACAGCACAATGAACAGACCACCAGACCCTTTGCAGGTTGAGTTTGTCGAATTCATCATCCCTGTGCCATGTTTTGAGTTCTAATTGCTCAATCCATGATTGGTCGAATTTCAAGCTACGTCAAGATGCTTCGACGGGGCAACCCTCTCTCACCACAAGAGTAGTTCAGCTAACGCCTACGCCGTACGTCGCTGCAGCAGTCGGTTTGTTCGACCAAGGGAAGACAAGCATTCGACCTGTTGCCGTGCAATTGACACACACACACACATGTATATATATAACTATATATATATTATATATATACATGTTATACATAGTGCCTAAATATAGATACATAGATACAGAGACAAGTGTTTACTACTAGCCACGCGGCATCCAAGGCATCAACAAACTAGACTTGTATAAACCTTTTGCTCGACACTTTGCCTCACTAACATGGACCAGCATAGCATGGCTTTTTGGAAGATTGTTTTCCTCCACAAGCAGTGGGCGGGCGTTCCACCAAAGCATCTTAGCAAGTCAGAGTTCACATCCTTACTTCGCATCACACTGCTAAGATCCCTCAACATGTTGGAAAGGTCTTCCTCTTCATGCTTGCAGAACGGGAAGCAAAGACATCTTTGGCAAATCTCCCCATATGTGGAAAAGGCACGCCGGGCGCCCCCGGCGACGTCCAGATAAGGAACACGCATAGAAGATGACCAGTTGCGCCCAACAGTTGCGCTGCAATGTGCTCCAAATGTTGGGATCATGTTTGCGGGATTTTATTTGTCAAATCTCGAAAAAGACATGGAAACGGTCGGATCTTTCCCTTTCTCAGGACAGCTGAGAACGGCCTCGTGATCATTTAGCCGCCCGGTCCGCGGACTATATCGGCGCGAAACCGAGATCTAGATCGGTGGCCTGAGAAAGCGAGAAAGATCGCAAACAAATAGACCAAACATTCAAGTAGGGGATCCAACTAAGGGCGTTGGGGTGGGATTGACGAATTCTGTGGGAGGGGTAGCAGTCAACACTTCCCACAAATTTGTTACTTTACAGCTGTGCGCGGAGCTGCTTTGCATCATTTCCAATTTCAAGCCCGGAAACTCATGTGGTGGGCGTCGGCGTGGAGCGCTGTGGTGCCTGGGCATTGCTGCGCACTTGATTCGAAAAAGTGGGCACTGTTGGAGTTGTGCCCTGGGCCTCAGCATCGCACGAAGTCAGTCGGATTCAAGTGTGGTGATTATCAATTGCAACTCGGTCACCGGTTTTGGCGCTTGTTTTGTTGAACATTGCTGAGATCATGATTCTGCTGTGGTGTGTGCATGTTGTGGAAGAAGCATGTCCGGCAAGTACCCTGTCACACATTTTCCAACAACCTTTATTACACAATCCCAAATGCAGTTGGTGTCGTCTCACACATCCATTCATTGATGCTCAGAAAGCATAGTGGCAAATGAGAAACAGTAGTTACAGTAGTTGGCCCTTCTTTTCATTCCTCATCATTCTTTGCAAAACCAACCCACCTCACTGTGCATTGAAGTACCTGTCGCCCCCTTGGTCACTCAGCGGCTGCCACAGCGAAGAATCGCAGCCTTTAAATCCCACCAAAGTGATAAGTGATAAGTGATAAGCGGATTGACCCCAGAACTGTATAGAGGAAAGTCTTTATATGTTTGTTTTTGTGGAGAGGAGCAGTATATTGTTATTTACCCAACATTTTCCAATTCCATGATCGTTAGAGGGATTCTAGGATCCCAGGCCGATTTTGTGCTTTTTTTGCCATCGCGGATCAAGTCAATAGTTGCCGCAAGGAGCGCAGACAAGAGACAACAGGCTGACTAAAGAGAATCGCACATCTCCCAAGCACTGTAAGCACAGGACCACCCCTCCAAGTCAGCCCGTACCATGTTGAAGCGACAGCCCTTTTACCGTACTTCCGGCTTGAATGCATCTTTTTCCATCAATGTTCTTCAATTGTCTTACACAGATGTGTAACTTAACTATGACACCGATAATGTGAAGTAAACTAAACACATCAACCCTCCAGTTCTTACATGCCATGTTGCCTCACCTGCCCACAGGCAGCGCTCAAAGGCACTGCATCGACGCACCCCTCGCGGATTGGGTGCTGCACGCCATGGGGGATGGATGCGGGGGGGATGGGCTGGCTGGGCTTGTTGAGGGGGAACTCTTGGGCTGGCTGGGACAAGGTCTAAGAATGCCCTAGTCACATCCACATCCACCTATTGAATTTCAAGTCTTTCTCCATAGGTATAGATCCACGGGTTTGGCCGGTGGAGGCCCGATCCCCGATCCCACGTGGTGCACCATGCCCTGTTTTACTGCCCATAAGTAGGCTTAAGGGATATGAGATGATATGATATTCTGATACATAAGAAGGGCACTTAGCTGGATGACCTTCTCCAGGAATATCCCATTCCTTTGATGCCTCATTTGGAGGGTGCAGCGAAGTGCTGGTTCGTTTGCTGTTCTTCGTCCCCGCGGTGCCGATGACTCGTAGCAACAAATGCCGTCAACTCTGGGCCAAAGTTGCCCCACGTTGTTGGTTTTGGCATGGCGAAGCTCGCTTCCCTGCCACTTTGGGGCTTGGCCTTGGGCTTTCTTCAAGGAGAGGCCGAAGATGGCCGGAGAAATGCGGAGGGCATTCGGTTCACTACGGAAAGGAAAGTAACTATCAACTATATAATTGTAATTGTAGTGCTGAAAGGCAAACTGATTTGCCAAAGGCGCTTGAAGGCCACCGGAGTGTCTTCAAACAGTTTACTACGGCCGCTACTGAGAGACAGTGACTTCCGGTGCTGCGTGGTGCACCGATGTGCACCACCGACCAATCACCACCATCCGAGACGCCGGGCCGAGCACAGCTCTCGTGCTACTTGCTCCTAGTAGTACGGCCAGGAGCCACTAGTAGCGTCCTTGCTCCTAGTAGCTTCTTGTTACTACTAGTAAGGCACTTGTTACTACTAGCGTGGCACTTGTTCCTAGTAGTAATGCCAGGAGCCACTCGTAGCGTCCTTGCTCCTAGTAGTGATGCCCTTGTTCCTAGTAGCGTTCTTGATCCTTCTATGCTCCATGACTTAGGGGGTTGGCGCGTTCCACCGATCGAACGGAGTGAGAAAGGAAGTCACTCCATTAAGACTTAGGGAGTGGGTGGGGCACTCTCCACGACCGGTGGACATATGATGACCTTAGGGTTCCCCATGAAAGCCTCCACTTTCTAAGATGCATTCCAAGATGCGCTGTCAGAGCCACATGCTTTGCAGTGTTTTTTTATCGTTAGGCGTTCGACACTAAAACACCCCACTTTGGCAGCAAGGAATTGGTGAAGCTGCCATGGATTGTTGTGACATTGATGTGACGATAGCATTTTGGTCACCATTTCAGTGACGAAGACATCAAATCAACCCGTCCTTGCCCGAGGCAAAGTATTGGCAGGTCATCACGGATGGGGCGCCGAAAGCACGTGCCTCATTTGCAAGCTCCTAAATATGTTTAGGAAAAGCTGAGGCCCACATGCTCTGAGGCTTCTGAGCCGATCACCTCTTGAAATGGTCACCCCTGCTGAGTGGAGGAATCCTGGAGGGCAGACCCACACACACACACACCCACACCCACCCACACACATAGCACGCACACACACACACACACACACTCTGACAATTGTATTCAGTTAACTCAGTTCCCCAAGGAAAGGAATGCCTCAACGGTAAGGTGAGGAGTCCGATCAATTGCAGATGTTTGAACACGTGGTTTGTGCGCATCTGCAGACTCGCGACAGCAGCGGACGAAACGGCGGCGCGGCTGCGGGGGAAGAAAAGGTTTAGGGGGAGAAACATGAACGACCATGGCATCAAAACACAGCAAGGAAGAGTGGAGTGGTATCACGGCGCAGGTACGTTTTCCTGATCGTCCAGTGTGGAGCTTCGTTGGCAGAGGCCACGACTGGAGATCCCTCTGCCCCCTGCATTCAAAACTCTTAGTTACAGAGGTTAGAGGTGGAACCCTTAGATACAGGGGGTGACACACACAAACCGCCGATTCCGGCGCAAGTGTGTAGAACGTTGAAGGTGGAACTTTGTACAGAAAGCGCCAATATTGGCGCTGCGAAAAACTAATAGCCACCTAAAAAGCCTTAGAAAGACAGACAAAGCAAACAAAACAAAAGCAGACTAAGAGGGCAAGAAAGAAAGATAGGGGTAGTTACGAGGCCCACTTAGTTAAATGAAAGTAGAGCGCGAGCGGGACATTTGTCTTAAACCGCCCGGGTAGCTAGCAATAGGCTAGGAGAAACAGAAGGAAAGGCACCAACACACAAGTGTGTTGAGTGCGATTTCCTTCTGTTTCCCGAGTAGCGGGTGGGGTAGCAACGGAGGCCCAGGGGTAGGGAGGGGGAAAAATGCATGATTAATTCGTCCGGCCTGTGAATACTTAGCAGCACATGCACATGTGAATACCTAGCCGTCAAACATCTCAAAAAAAAAGCAAGTGTTGCAAAACTGTCAGTTCCCGTGTTTAGGCCCGGCGGCCGTTGTGGCAGTTAATTCGATGGTTGTGGCGGTGACTTCCAGTGGAGTTCCTGTGAAAAGTGGTGAGGTCAGTTAGTGCTTGCACGATGAGACAGCGCCCCAATGACGGGGATCACACTCAGCACCCGAGTGGGACGGCTGAGCGAAACACACTCTGACAATTGCATTCAGTGAACTCAGTTCCCCAAGGAAAGGAATGCCTCAACGGTAAGGTGAGGAGTCCGATCAATTGTAGATGTTTGAACAAGTGGTTTGTGCGCATCTGCAGACTCGCGACAGCAGCGGACGAAACGGCGGCGCGGCTGCGGGGGAAGAAAAGGTTTAGGGGGAGAAACATGAACGACCATGGCATCAAAACACAGCAAGGAAGAGTGGAGTGGTATCACGGCGCAGGTACGTTTTCCTGATCGTCCAGTGGGCAGAGGCCACGACCGGAGATCCCTCTGCCCCCTGCATTCAAAACTCTTAGTTACAGAGGTTAGAGGTGGAACCCTTAGATACAGGGGGTGACACACGCGCACACGCACACACACACACACACACACACCTGAGCTTGGATTGCAGTCTCATACTTCAAGGTGGCCGCCATGATTTCCACTGAGGTTATGGACACTCCGCTGTTTTGCACGAGCAGAAGATGTGGATTTTTGGTGGGAAAGACTCCCCGGTCTTAGGGGAGGACCTCAATGATTTGCAGCGTGGCAGACCATGGTGGAGCCCTGGGTGGGGCCCAAGCTCTGGGAGCTTCTAAAACCCATTGTAGAACTGGATTTGTGATTCATAAACTTCCCGCCGGGTGTGGAATCGCACGTGTAGTCGTGCAAATGTTGATTCAAAAGTGCAAACCCTCTCAATACTTTTGCTTGTTCGATGATGTTTTTTGGGGGGTCCCGGATCCTTTCATTTTTAAAGCCGAATCTGCCGAAACCCAAGCGCCAGCGCAAAATCCGTTGCCGTTTTTGTCCCGGGCTGTCCTCAACTTTCATGCGTCCTGTCTCAAGTAGACTTGCGCACCCCATTTTAATCACACGACTAATCGATGACAATGTTATGAAACCGATTTCAATGATATGAAACCGAAGATTACTTGTTAAAATCGATGGCAATGTTCTCAGCGTGACATCCACATCCTCATTCCATCACAACCCCCCCCCCATTTTAATCACACGACTAATCGATGACAAGGTTACGAAACCGATGACAATGTTGACAAACCGATGACAATGTTATGAAAACGATGACAATGTTATGAAACCGATGACAATGCTATGAAACCGAAGATAACCTTAGTATACTTCAAAAATTGCAGTAGTCACACGTTCGGTTCTACACCCGTAGGCATCAACTTGTCCACCAAAGAATCTTTAGAGTTTAGATGTTTGGTGTGAACATCAAGAGTTTTTTCAATTTCCCCGTGCGCAGGCCTATGAGATATCAGATAGCAGAGTCGTCCTGTTTGGAGTCTGGCCCCATAACCCCGTAGACAGCTCGAACGACCAGATGAAACGGTTGTTCGCTCCAGGTAGAAATGATATTGTTTTCTGGGCTCATCTTGGTTTAAGGGAATCCGCCAGTGGCTGTGGTTTCCATTGGGAAACACCAAATGTTGCATGGGAAAGCCAAGAAATGTGGACGTTGACGTGCAGAACATATCGTTTTTTTTCCGCGGGTTCCTGGGGATCCAAGACTCTAACTTGCTCTAAGTTCTAATTGTACAGGCCAAGCGTTGCTTCAGTTGCTGATATTTATATATGCTGCATATAGAACCTACATTTGGACCCAAAACGGCCCTTTTGTTCGTTCCAGTTTTCGGGGTTTATAGGAATTTGTGGGTGCAGTGTCCTTGGTCATGTGCATATATAGTTATATATATATATGTTGTATCTCTTTTTCTATACATATATATTTATGCTGTATCTCTATATATATATAACTGGGTTTCAAGGAAAAGGTGTCCAATGCACAGCTTTCAGTTCCCACCAATGACCTAACAACGACATTTGAACACCCCATGACTTCCAGAAGGATGGCCACTTGCTTGAAACTTCGCCCATGCAGACTCTCACTCCCTAAGAAGGGCGGCGAATGAACTCGGTCCGAGCGCCGCTTGCGCCCTCCCTTCATCTCCCAATACCTCCGTGGGCCGAGGCACTACTTGGACACCGTCTCCGGGAATTGGACCGAAGTCTTCCCCGAAGCGCCTCCCACGGCTCGCTCACATCACAGCGCCATCGTGGATCATGTGGGACGCATGTGGATCTTCGGCGGCCTCTATCGAAGCGACATGGGCCCCCAACAGGTGACGGACCAGCTGTGGCTCGGCTCACATGTGCGGGCCACCTTTCCGTTCTCCATCCGATGTGCCACCGCCACAATATGCCACTGCGGTCGTTGTTTCACCCGGAATGTACATTTGGCATGGCACCTGCTTTAAGAAAACGGGATCACTGTCATCACTGTCACGGACGCAACAAAATGACACGGCTCTGCCTATCACGGTCAGAAAGAAGTGGCGGGTGTTTGGTTTAGACGTCTCTACTCGCAGCTGCCAATTTGGCTCAGTTTCTTTATCTCCCAATTCGTTGAAGGGTATTGGTGTTCAATTTGTTTTTCAATTGATTGTTATTTTGGAATGTTCATCGTTTTGTTCGTTTGGCTTGTGCACACCAAAGGCTAAAATTCAGGTTGTCAACGGCAACTTGAAACAATGATTTGAGGGCAATATGCCTTGACATTAACTCGCGTCTATTTGAGTGAATGGTTTAAGCAACCCGCATTTCTGATTTCTATAACTTCCATGCCGTTGGTGCGTTTTAGGATTTGTCATTCACGCTGAACTTTCTCCTTGACTCAACGTTTCACGGTTTCACCACTTCACGCCCAAGATCATGCGCTAACTGTTGCAGCTACTTCACACAAAAACACATGGCTTTGTGGCAAATGCATCCAAAATAGTATCCAAAACTGATTGTAACTTTGATCTTGCAGATCTCACTCGGGGACATTTTTTCTGGCTCGTCGGAAGAGCGATCGGCTCAGCTGAACGCAAACAGTGCCCAATGTCGAGCGATCATATATGATAGAATTGGAGGGGTTGGGTAGCCAAGGTACTACCTGAACCTCTCAAACCCGATCAAGCTCCTTGGAGGACTATGTGGGGCGTGTTTATGTCCACAGCATGCCAAGACAACCCAGAAAACATCAGACAACCATGCATATATATAGTATACACTGCTCCTTTGCGCCTCCCTTGCGATATACTGTGGAGGAAGCTCCAGAACATCACGACAAAGAGGTTAATTCAGCATCTTGTCAAGGCTAGCTTTTCCTTAAACCTGGAGCAGCTTCAACTGCAGGCTCTATAGATTATACTGATTAGAGTAGGGAAAAGATATAGAGAGCGATGCAAATTTTATGCTGCACATACTGAATGATACTTGGGGCTTTAAATGCTTTGGGGCTGTTTGGCGTGGTGGAAGGCCTCCCACAATCGAATTGCGGAGACCATAGGATACCGTAGGGTTCGGGGCGATGCTCTCATCCTCGAATTGTCTCCTGAAGCTCCCTAAGATGGATGAACGTGGACACCAGACTTCAGTCTCGTGCGGAGCACAGCGCTGTCTTTGATGGAGCCTGGGGTATGTGGATCTTCGGTGGGAAGTTCTACCCTCGGTCCGCGGACAATGAGACCTTCACGACTGTGCATTACTTGGACCTGGAGGCGAGATTCAAGGGACAAAGACTGAGCCGGGAGGGTTGTAATCCGCATTTGTAGACCCGTCCAAAGGGAAGCCAAAGAGCAACGGGGGACAATATAAATTGTGTGTTACAGTGGTGGCTCCGCGGCTTCGCAAAAAAAGGCCCAAGATACAAGCCAATTGGGATCCAGAATGCGCACTCAGAATGCCTGATCCAAACACAGAGTCAGGAAACCACTAAACACAGGTCATCCATAGTTGTCACGGCGGGGTCCGGCCGCCGTGACGGCATGCCCTTGCAACTTCTGGTCGTTCTGTGCCACCAGAAACAGACATGGCGTTAAGCAACACAAGCTGCTGTTTATGTAGCATCCTGTTTGGTTCGTTTATGGCTGACTGGGAGACATTGTGGTCACTTGATCTCGCGGCAGACCTTGGAGTACGAGGTGGTGGAGTGTCGCGGAAATGCGAGCTGGGTTGCATTGATCCCAGACAGAGGATGCCAAGACAAATACTTTGTTCCAGTGGTGCCTCCAAGCAGCTCATGTGGTGATGACATGCGCTCCACAACAACTCTTGCATGGCATAAGCAGGGGGTGGTTAATGTTGGTTCAAAAACAGCCAGCTGTTGAGCCCCAACAGGGTGGTCGCGAAGAGCACTTGTCTGTCGGTTTGTCACGAAGCTGTGAAGTGGTTGCTCCTTCCCCTACATTGGCTTGCAAGAAAAAGAACCTGAAGAGTCCTGAAGATGTATGTGTTTTCTCCTTCGGGCTATGTGTATACATCGAACGGCTGCCTCGGGACGGTTCAAGGACTCCGCGGCCCTAGTTCATTCGTTTGTCCTCGGAACCAAGGGGCCCTCGAAACGTTGGCGGCACAGTGCTGTGATGGATTCCTTCAGGCGATTGGCTGGGTGCAAAGGGGGTCGAAATACATGGGTTCCACAATGTGTGCATCATGACATTGTCCGGGTTGTGCACCCATTGTTCAGGAGGATGTGGGTCTATGGTGGTGTCGAGTATGACAAGCCCTTCGAGGACAGGCGCTTACCCAATGCGAACTAGTTTGGGGTGCTGTTGAAGAGAGAGCTTTGACGGCAGGGCTGTAGGTCTTTGGAATAGAGCACAAAATGCTTGGAGGGATCTTCGTGTCTTGGGGGCACAGAATTTGCTAGACCGAGCTGGAACTGAAGTATGTTGGTTGGGAGACAACCTCAATATGATGAACCTTGGTTTGGCCATGTGGTCTTCAAACATATTACCTTCATTTGAAGCGATGGTGACCGGCGGACTCTTTTGCGGCACCGTCAGTGTAGTTTGTCATAGTTTGTCCAGCTAGTCCTTAGTGCAACATCTTCAGACTTCGACCCAGAGGCATTGAAAAGATCAGACTGGCTTAGATCTCATTGAAGGGCACTTTGAACATCAACAAGGCATCACCTTGGTAGCAAGCTCGAACACCTATATGAACACCTGCAATTGACAGCATATGCAGCATATGGCAGTCTTCGAAACCCACGGCGAGATGATGTGTTGCAAGATGTTGTAGACGATGCGTTTTCGCCCACAGGACCTCTACTTCCTGGATGTTGACTCTCATACTTGGAGCCAGGTGACCACGAGCCCCTTCAACCGACCAGGCATTTTGGAGGGACATTCCGCAGTGATGGATGCAGCGGGGCGCATGTGGCTGCTGGGCGGCTACACGGGAACATACTATCCGGATCGTGTTTTCTACTTGGACGCTTCGCAACACTTGGCAACTTGTTTCACATGCGGTTACTGGTGGGCCAGCATTGGCTCGGGAGGTTGTTTGGTGGAGTTTGTCGAACACCAGGTCTTATGGTTCTATGGTTCCTTTTCGCGTTATATACATATAATTACACACACTTAGGATAGGGTGTACTGAACTGAAAGCGGTGCCACACGCCGGCCTAGGGTTCCATTTCCTAAGAGTACCGGTAGGGAACCAACGAATCCTGGGGGTCTTCAAACGGAGAAGTGGCCCAAAAGGAAAGGACCGAACGACGAACGAACAGGCTGACGACGTTCCGCTCGCATCTGCAGTTCAAAGAAAACCATCAAGTCGTGAGGTTCTTGGCTTAGCCTCTCGCCATTCGAAAAAATGGAAAATGGCAGGTACGTTCGGATGATCAGTCCGAATATCCCACTCTGTGACCTAGCTTCGTTGAACTGGGTCAGTCACAGAGTGCCCAGTTCCCCTGCTGTGGCAAAAACTAAAAAGTAAGAAGGCAAACCGAACAAATCCAAAAGGATCCCTATGATTCCAAGGGTTACACACACACGCCTCCCCGAGGGGAGGCAAAATTAAGGCTAGGACGAATGTGTAAATGTGCGCGCAGAAAGGACAAAAGGATGAAGACATGAAAAGGAAGACAGACAGGACAAAAGTGTGTGTGGTGGCAATGAAAGGGAAAGCAAGTGCACAGGGACAACCGATGAGCCCACCTCATTGTCGAGACCTGGGCGACTTAACACCTCAGTTGAAAGTGGATGTGCGCGTACACACTAAGGCCCGGACCATTGTACGCGCAAAAGGAACGAAAGGAGTGAGATGAACGGACATGAAGCACGGGAAGACATGAAAAGAAAGAGGAAAAGAAGTGTGTGAAGGGGAAAAGGTGAAAGGGGAACCAAATGGAGGGGACGGGAACCGATGAAACCAAACCTCATTAAACAACCTAGGAAGAGCTGCCTCGTTGAAGTGTGTACGATGTATATGCACCTAAGTGGCCAACAGGTTCCAATGAACCTTGAACAGACTTCGGTCGCTGCGACCACGTACGGCTTGCCCAGGGGCTGCCACCTTTGACCGCTACGGTCACGTAAAGGCATAAGCCAGCTTGGAATTCCTAAAATGGGACAAATCGGAGTTCTCTCGGCCTAGGCCACCTTCGCCCGCTCTGGGCATTTACATCTCCGGGCAGGGGAGATAGCGACGTACACCCGTTCGACGGGTCCACGGGAGGCACTCTGCGGGCTCATCCCGGGTTGGCACGAGGCCAAACACACTTAGGATAGGGTATACTGAACTGAAAGCGGTGCCACACGCCGGCCTAGGGTTCCATTTCCTAAGAGTACCGGTAGGGAACCAACGAATCCTGGGGGTCTTCAAACGGAGAAGTGGCCCAAAAGGAAAGGACCGAACGACGAACGAACAGGCTGACGACGTTCCGCTCGCATCTGCAGCTCAAAGAAAACCATCAAGTCGTGAGGTTCTTGGCTTAGCCTCTCGCCATTCGAAAAATGGAAAATGGCAGGTACGTTCGGGTGATCAGTCCGAATATCCCACTCTGTGACCCAGCTTCGTTGAACTGGGTCAGTCACAGAGTGCCCAGTTCCCCTGCTGTGGCAAAAACTAAAAAGTAAGAAGGCAAACCGAACAAATCCAAAAGGATCCCTATGATTCCAAGGGTTACACACACATGTGTGTGTAATTAAGCCTGCTAGTTAGCATGCAGTACTCCAAACGTTTGGAGTTGAACATCGTCCCGCAAGCGCTTAGTTCTCTCAGGACACGGTGGACATGAAGAACCTGAGCCTCGGATGGTGTCGCAGCCTGCTCTGGAGGTGAAGCTAGATTTGGGTGAAGCTCAGTACCCCAGGTCATGCAGGATTGCACCATTTAGCTTGGATAGTCTTACCACTTGTTGCAGATCAGCAGCCAACTACATGCTTAGTGTTCACATTTCCGCATACATCGTGGCAATGATATGTATGATTATGTATGTATATATTTATATGCATATAGCGACGGAGAATCACTTAGAACAAAAAATCCAAAACGCTGAATCTGCACTTAGAACAGCGTCAGACTATCAAGAAATTGTTTGTTCTTCCTGTTGCGCTGAGAACGTTCCTGAACCCGCGCTTGGACAATTCTAAGGAGAAAAGCAGACAAACTAGCCAAATTATGAGTGAAACGATGTTAATTACTATAGATTGAGGAGGGGGCCAGTTAAGCCACGCACCACAAGCACCACACCAGTGTTTCTGCTTTTCTGACGGGAGTTCACTTGAACATTCTTATTGGCGCCAAGTGGTGTTCCAAGTGCAGGTTTCCCTCTTGTTCTAAGCCTTGCATGTAGAACCTCTCCCGGGGACTCTTTGTAAGGCCAGGAGCCCCTAGTAGCGTCCTTGCTCCTAGTAGTAAGGCCAGGAGCCCCTAGTAGCGTCTTTGCTCTTAGTAGCGATGCCAGGAGCCCCTAGTAGCGTCCTTGCTCCTAGTAGCGATGCCAGGAGCCCCTAGTAGCGTCCTTGCTCCTAATTACGTTTTATGATATAGTTATATGACTCCATTTGGCTCAACAGAACTTCTGATGCATCCGAACTTCTCAATAGATCCACTGCCTGGGAGCTGTGCGTAGCTGCATTATGGATTTGTCCGTTCATGCAGCTCTTGACTCAGAGTATCTCTCCTAAAGCAGTTGTGATCCATCAATCCCAAACTATTGAATGTCTACCACGTTCACCATTGACAACTGCCAAGGTTTGTAAGGGACACTTGGCATACAAAAATCCGCTCGCGTTCGCCTTTGGGTCTGAGGATGTGGAGAGAAGTGGAGGAGTTCGAGTTTTCTGCAAAAGGCCAGGTGTTGCAGGGCCTTCTTGGAATAGAATTGTCCTCTACAAGGTAGTTGCTACATGTTCTTTTCGTGCGGATTGCGGAGAGGTGGAAAGAGATGAGGGGAGCATTCAATGCACCACAAAAGACTCCTACCTTACCACAACAAAAGCATGCTTGGGCTGACCGGGTGCGTGCAATGAGAAGCAGCGATGCTTTGATGAACAGCTTTGATGATGTTGATTTGTTCGATCCCCCGGTCAGCAAGTGAAGCGGTCTGACCGCTTCTCAGGCACAAGATGCTTCAACCATTTCCTCATGTGGTCCCATGCCAAAGAAAATCAATCATGTGGCGCGTTGGGCGCATGACGTTGAACGGTCCTACTCCAGCCAGCGTTTGCTAATTATATAAGTATTATTGTATTAATATATATTATATACACATGCTACCCCCATCTACCCCCCAAAAATGTCTACCTCTTCAAGCAATTGAAGCAAATGGTTGCTAGTATTCAAAATGGGTACCAGGTCATGATGGTTTGAATGGAGCTGTTGTAGGGAGGGGGATTTGGCACGACTGTAAAATCGGTTTTACTAGTTTACTTAAGAAGTATATATATATATATGTATGTATACTTATTTGTCTTGCACATGCTTTACTCACTCTTTTTCGGCTACGTAGCCATTAAAGAAGACAGGATGTTTGTTTTCTCATTTGCGTATGCAAGAGACAAGCTGAATATGAAGACAAGGAGCTATTTGCCAATGAGACAGACATCCCAGAGAGAAGAGGAACTATGCAAGAAAAGTATGATATGAGTAATGCTTGCTAGAACCTACTATGTCTCTATATTTCCTGCCCAAGGATAGATGCCAATTCATCCTCTTCCATTTGGCAAAATTCCTTTATGCGCTTTATATGCCTTACTTTACTTCGAGTGATCCCCGCCATGGCATTACACTACTCTGCTGACAATCGACGGCTATCTTGCTTCAACATCACCCAAAAAGCGTCTAACATATATTCCGGCATTCTATCTAGCATGCATTCCGACATTTCAGGCATTTCTATTTGGCATATATTCTGGCATTCTATGCGGCATATATTGTGGCATTCCATCTGGCAATATCTGGCATACATTCTGGCAGCAAGCATATCTTGCATATATTCTTGCGTTCTATCGAGCATATATTCGGGCTGTCTATCTGGCATAGTTGCGGACATTCTTTCTGGCACTCTTCCTATTTGCGGTGCCCACCGCGAGATGAGACTGGTGGCTGGCGTAGTGCCCACTGGAATCTAGCACTTGTGGTTGAGGCCCGCTGGTGCCCACTGCGATCTGGCACTTGTGGAGGAGGAGAGGAGGAGAGGACTCTCACCTCGCAGAGGGCTAACACCTTCAGAATCTATGAGTACCTTTTCGGAAACTTTGTTTTCAATAATATGTCGCCTTTTCCCTCGTGGCTAAGAACAGGTTCAGTGAGCAAAGAGTGGCTGTGGTGTGCTGGCACCAGAGCAAGTTGCTTGAAAAGACTATGCTCATCAAAGATGTTCTGCGCAAGAGCGTGGAAGTACAAGATGGCCAAGATAAGTGTCAAGGGGTTTGAAGGGCACGAAGGGCAAGAGACGCACGTTCAAAACCGACGAGTCCAAAGTGTCATCCGCACGAGTCCAAATTCAAAAAACATTATCCCAGTGTGAGGTTTAGAGGTGTAGCAGCAGAAAGTCTAGAGATCTAGACGCACTTCAGCTGAGCTCACCTCACCTTAGCTCCCCTCGCCCCACTCGCCCCACTAGTCAGTCAGTCAGTCAGTCAGTCAGCCACCCACACCACCACCATGACCACGATCCCCACCTTCATCACCACCATCATCTCTCTTGACCCCACTGTGCCTAGATCTCTAAAACTTTCTGCTGCTACACCCCTAGGCCTCACACACACTTTTTGGGGCCTCTTGCCGGGAAAGCCATAGTATGTATGTAGAGGACTGAACGTTGGTAGTGACATCTTGCCATTTTGCTATATCTTTTCTGTGCCTCAACTGTTTTACTGGCATTGATTGAGTCTGTTAGGTTTTGGGTTTTCACCTTGTGTTTGATCATTGTTTCCTTTTTCAGCTTGAAGCTTTATATTCAACTCTGAAACAATGCCTGAACAAAACTTGATGTGAGGACTGTATACTGCCTGATTTTTTTGACAGTGCAGTTTTGAAATAACCATTGCCTGTGTAAACATGGTGTGTTCATTCCCCTCAGTGTACTTCAGAAAGTCATCAATGCCTTCAACCACCCTACGCTCAATGGATTCATCCCTTGTGTTGATGTGACAGCCTGTCGAAGCCTTAGCATCTACTGTTGCATTCCTTGTTCATAGTTATGCCCAAATGTTTTTTTTTGTGCCTTGCAGTGGCCCTGAAGTCTTTGTTTGGTGTGTAGCCTATTTGATTGGTGGTCCGTCCGTTCTCTGGATTATATATTTTTGTGTTTGGTGACCCCGAACGCGATTCTTTGGACGATCGTTTTCCTTTGGACGAACATACTGGGATGAAAGTAGGGAGTGCAGGCATGTGATCCGCCATTGTTCGGGTCTCCCTGTCTCCGTTTGTTTGACCCGCGGAGTGAGGCACGGTGAGGAATGACAGTTTTGGAAGGTCAAAATCAAATATCTCCTGCAAGAAACAGCGGAGACAATAAACTCACAGAGATTCTTCAGACTTGAGCTGAGCTGCCCCCTTGTGCAGGTCCAAGCATCAAGGCGAGCAGCGGTGGCAGTGCTGTCATGGATGACCAGGGCAACCTTTGGGGATTCGGTGGCGGCAGTCAAGGCTCCGTCGACCGTAACCCTGCACAATCCGGGCGCGTCTGCGCGTGTCCAGGTTGTTGTGATCCCGGGTTACCTGCCAGGGTGAGAAGATGGTAAACTTGGACACCTAACGAAAATGGCACGTAATGACACCTACAATATCATATATATATATATAAGTGCTTGTGTGTGTGTGTGTGCGCGCGTGACTATATACATATAATTGCCCTCACTTGCAACGAACCACCTTTTAACTAGCAACAGGATAGTGCGATGCCCTTTTTGTCATCCATCATTTATGGATTTCCTGAGCCCTTCCCATGATGCGGGTCCATCTCTCGTTTGCTGGCCATGGTCTAGTAAAGTTTCCAAAATGCACCATATGTTCCATCTCTCCATCCCAATCATCCAAAATGAAACTGGCCCAAATCCAAAGTGAACATCGCGAACATCCCCAAGGCTCGCTTTGGGAGACGACAGTTTCGTAAAGGAACGCAGGGATCCCAAGGGTGGGTATATAGGCTGAAGGATGCAGGCTGGACGTTGTCCTTTTGATCGTTTTCCTCTTGGCAAGAAGACCATCGCCTCGGATGATCCCAGGCACACACGACGAGGTGTATGTGCTTGAGACGATCGGCCCAGCACCGACCACCTCAACGACCTCGACCTCTTCTCCAGCTGCTCGAACAACCACAACCACAACCACGACCACGACTACAACTACTACCACTACCACTACCACCACTACCACTACCACAACTACCACTACGACTACTACCACTACCACTACCACTACCACCAGTACCGCTACGGACACTAGCACATTGGTTGTGATCAAAGATACAACACGGATGGAAGATCCTGCCGATGCGCCAAGTGAAAGCAGTGGTGGTACCGTTGCCCATTATGTGGAGGTCATTTTGTTTGTGGTCGTTTTCGTTGGTGCTCTCGTTTTCATCATTTGGTTCGCTCTGATGGTTGGCTGCACTTGATGGCCAGGGCTGCCAGGGTTACGCGTTAGCATTGTTATTGAGGATGTAAAAACCACTTGCAATCCAAACAGGAAGGCCGTTTGATGCTTAATGTTTTTTATGCTCCTTGCACTCCCCACCACCCTGCCCATACCAGACGAGATCGTGATTCATGACGGCTGAGTTTTGGGCTAAGCTGGATCTTCTGCTTGATTTTGGGAATTTGTTTCTGTATGCCCCACGTGAGTTGCGCAGTAAAACGTCTCTGAGATCACGGGTGGTCGTGGCCCATGGGCAGACCGCGGGGCCTGTGGGTCTGTGGGGGCACGAACAAGGAGGAGCCAATCTAGTACCATCCTAAGTGCAGATCACATCGCCAATTGTGGGACGATGTCGGAATTTTCCTATGTCCTTGGCCCCACACACAAAAAGCAGCTCTGCATTTCAGGTGCGATGTCGGCATGTGTCACCTTCACGAGGTACGTATCTCATGTGCAATTGGTATTCCAATAGTGGCCGCGCCGTAAAGTCAGTCATGTCTCATGTGACTTGCACCTAGTATAATTTTGGAATCAAGGTGCCTAACATGAACACCCTTGCGGGACGCATCAGAATATATCAGAATGTAGGTGAGCTAGTTGCTGTGGATTGCCGACATTGGAGTGCAGTTTGGACCGACTCTTGCCTGTGGTCCCTGGCAGCCCGAGGAGAGGTGACGCCAGAGGTGCTCAAGCAGGGCAAGTGGAGCAAGTGGAGCTCGCTGATGTTGGGGCGACGCGGGGCTTCGGGGATGAAACAGTGGAGATGCCACATATGCCGCATACCGAGTTCTTTGGAAGCAGTGAGGTTTCGTGAGGCCCTTCTCTTGGAGTGAGCTCTGTGACTGGAGTGGCGCCTTGCATGTTGCACAAGGCTTGTGTGAAATTCACTATGCCAATATGCTTGAGTGCATGCTCAGCCATGTTTGATAGTCCTGAGCAGAATATGAGGGGCAAATCCTCAAGAACATTCTACGAATTGTTGCGCGGCTGCTAATATGGTCCTTTTTGCTGCCCAGACATAGCATTGGGCATTCCAGCGCGATTGTCACATCTCCCGGTGTGCGAACTTCAGCACACCCTTCGTGGAAATTCAGGACCTGTCAAGAGCTTTTAGGTCCCGCCAGCAGAACAATACATGAAATTCAATATATATATAATATATACATAGTTATATAAATTTAGTATATCTACTGTATATACTATATATATGAATCCCATTGAATCCCCTTTTGAAAGACCCCACTCCTGTCAATTGCTTGTCCGTCGAACGTGCCGAGCATCAGGTGAGGTGACCAGCCGACCAGCAGAATCACAACTTTTGTACAGCGTAAAAGTTATAAGGTCTTACATAAGTTGACTGCTGAACCCTAGAAAGCGCAGGCATAGCCAATATTGATGAGAGACTCCCAGAATTCTGCCTCCAAACACAAAAATGCCGTTCCATCATGAAAACACTTGCTTCTTCCTATAGGTCCCTTGCATTGAAGACCTGCCTCTCGCAGGTGATGCGGGCTCAACACGCCGGGCGCTGTCAGAGCGCCGGCGCCGGCAGATGGAAGACCCCTCAACGACCCGTTTGAGGGCTGGGACATCCCCAGTGACATGCGGGCTCATCATGGCTCCATGGGCTCCACTGCGGTGCGAACGAAGCGCGTTTCGCACGAACTGGACGAGACGAACAGTCTCTCCAATGCCAGCGGCCAAGGTCTGGCACCACACACCGAACGAGGAAGCACTCCCGAACGAGGCCCACCGCCTCAAATTACGTCGCGGACATGGCGCGGTTCGTTGTTCACCCAGGAAAGTCAGGATGTTGAGACTGCTCCTAATCCAGGATGTTATTTTTTTGGGGGGGTGAATAAATTTAAGAACCTCAGGAGCCACCAAAAAAGATTAAAGTTTGTTTTGTTGGCTTTCGCTGCTCCAGTCACAGCACTGTGTCCTCTTCATGTCCATATCTCATATCTCACTTCAATATGACGGATGTGAACTGGAACCAGGTAATTGGCATTTTGGCACACAGTCACAACATTGTTTGCCGTTTACCCGTGATGTTTTTAGAACCTTGTTGTTTCCTTGCTTTGCTTTGTATGATGCACTCTTCAGGAACTGTATCGATTGCATGGGCAACCCATTTCAAGACCGCTGAGGGTTCAAGGTTCTAGGGCATCAGGCACGCCAAACATGTAGTTTGAAGGATTTTGAAGAGACACCTTGCTATTCTTCCAACCCTTTGCGTTTGTGGGCCGCCAAAGTGTACACTCCCACTTGTCCCACTGCAGATTATATCATCATTTACATACGATTGTGTGGTTCCATGAATTTTCTGATAGCACAAGTCAGAGCAGGTGTGCTTCAGGCGCCCGAAAAAGCAGCACTATATAATCGCATTTAATGCCTATGAGGCATAACCACCTTGGGATCTTCCAGATGTAATGCTCCTGTTCATTCCTATGCAATGTGTTCATAAGATATGATAGATGGTTTTTTCAATCTTGCCACGACCCCCCAAGAACCCCCAGCAAAAACGCGAGCATCACGCATCTGGTCACACACACAAATAAACATTGGCCATCGGGCCTGGAAATGTGAAACCCGGTAGGTCGTGGCCCGGGGGTGACGAATCAACAGGTCCATTGGTATCCATTTAGTAGCATCACGGATGAGAAAAGCACCAAAAACATATCTAAAAAATGCCAGGATGCGCCAGGTTGATCCTGTAGCTGGGAGAAATACACAGATGGCAGGGTTTCTTTGGCTCAAAGGCCTCGTCTAGGTGGCTCCTAAGAATTCCTGTGAAGATGAAGGGCCACAAGTATTGCACACAGTGGCCAGCCTACAACCTTTTGTGGGCTCTTTTGTCATCCATCGGACTGAGAGACCCAAACATCGGCAGAATCGGTCTGCCAGAACTGCTGGGAAATCCTCCAGTACCTTCGTTTGCTAAGATCTTTTCGTCGGATCAAGTGGGACCCTTCTGCCCGGTGTAGCCAGGTTGGTCTATGGCCAGGTGGGGGGGGGTGGATCCGTTCATCACAGACCGACTGCGAAAAGGGGCATGACTGGATGCCAGTGGTCAGTACCGGTTTCACACCTAGGGTTGCTGAACTGAACAGGTTGCTGTATGGGTGTTGCCGTGCCGTTTCGCTTGACGACGTGTTGATAGAATCCAGGCCGTCTTGGAAGGACTCAAGATCAACGAGTGATTTCGGTCTGACTGTCAGAACTGTTAAAGTTTGAAAGCAATGTGAGTAAGAATTGCAGACGCGCCCCGTTGTCAATAGTAGACTTGGGTTGAAGGACCTGCTTATGTTTGTTTTGCTGCTGTAGTGCAATTGGTTTTGAACATCCTGACTGCTTTGAGTATGTCTATGTGCAAAGGTTTCTTTGGACAATTTGTGCGACTTTTGTAGTTGGTCATTGTGCACCAGTCCTCCAAAAAAAGCATTTGACATCCTCTACGCCCAACTGCCATTGTTTTTTTTTTCCAGTTTACTGTTCAATGCTAAAGCAAAACTTATAAACTTCTGGTGATTGAAAAGTAAACTGCCCACTAGCAGTTTATTTCAAGCTAGTTCGGACTTCTGTGCCAGTCAAGCGAGCTGTGTTGAAGCGGTGTTGGCAGATCAATCACCGGCGTTCACGCCTCCAACATCCTCCAACGATTGAGGGGTCGACATTGGGGAATGCCCTCCAAAAGCACTGCTGTAGAAGCCGCTCAGTTATTTTGGGAACATGCCTCTAGTTAGATGAGCAAGGGCAATGATGGACCTCTGCCAACTGGAAGAGTTTTGCAGAAGCCATTGGCTTCAGGATCTTCCCCAACCGGAGCCGTTCAGTCGACCCCAAGGCGGAGCCGTGTCCTCGCGACATCAGAGATTCTCCAATTTCTTGGCTGACGAGGCAGGCAGGAGAAGGGTTGCAGCCCACAACAATGGGTCCTATTCCTGGAAGCCACGACTACCAGTCCTGCCCAACTAAAGTTCTTGGCAGGCATATCGTACTCCATATGCACTTTGCTAGGTGGTCAGGAGGGAGCTAAGGCTGCTGGGGGTATCCATATTCCTTCTGAAACAGGGATTAGAGGGAGTTTCCCAACCACTTGCTAGTTGGATACTTGAAGGGCCAACTGGCCATCTTCCAACACCTTCTAATACCAAAAGTACGATGGGGCTGGACTTGTGGTTGACAGATGCAGCTGTCAAAGGGCATGCCCTTGCGAATTGAACAGCGGGATAGACAACCGTGGGTAGTATATAGTCCTCGTAATTGCCCACATGTTTGGTGCAGAGATCGTCAGAATCAATTTTTGGAGACCTCCTCCCAGTAACCCCTTGTCCTGTGCAATCCTAGGTCCTAGGTGTGCAAATCGGTTTGACACATCGATAGCTCAGCGCCAGAGGCTGGGTCGAAGAAGGATTGGTTCAAGGACTGGCAGTCCTTGGAGGTGTTCTTCCACCAGCGTCGGGGACCTTGATGTGTTTCAATGGACGATGTGATCACCCAGTTTGACCATCCTGGGCGGTGGAGTTTTATAAATGGTTACTTTGGATTCTGACACCCTTGAAGCTAGTCGACAGGTGGCTCAGGTCTCATGGGAACATCCTGTGAATGAAGGCCTTCCTCAATTAGACTATATACTGTAGTTGGATGCTGGTACTGGAACATACTGGGAAACTTGACTAGGAGCTGCGAAGAATCTCCACTGAGAGGCCCTTTAGCCGAAGCTGGTTGTCCATCGAATGATGTGGAGTGCATGGCAGGCTCTTTGAAGTTTCAGAATGCTTCAGAGCCCCAATAAGTACCTTTCGTATCCTTTCGTTGCAAAATGTGGTGAATATGTCCATCGATTCTGTCAGCAAGTGTTAACCTACCCACATATGCAGAAAGGAATGTGTTTGTTGGAACCTCATACGGTCCGCCGGATGTAGCTTGGAGGGCGGATGGCCATGGAGAAGAGAGGAGGGTCATGCAGTGGCACCACATCGCCAATGCCAGGACCCGGACCGCTTTTCACCCTGGACCTGGCGCAAGCAGCCGGGGGCCCGCGGGAGTAGATGTGCTGGATGTGCACCATTTTCCCGGCAACAACTGCTGATGTTTGAGGGTTTGAACTTGGTATGCTGAGCCATTGAAGAGCTGGAGCAATCTTGGAAATTTTGAAATCCCTGTCTTGTTTGCACTTGCTTTTTCTAGAGCTCCAAATGGCAGATTGCAAGAAACTCAACAAACCTCCCGCGACACTGCTTAGGCACAACTACTTCTTGGACCGCGGGGCCAAGTGTAGCTGACATGTCAAGCTTTGTGGTCTAAGCACCGTAGATCTACAGATATGGAAGAGGCAATGCTTGGTCAATCTTGGTCAAGTGCCGCTTCGAATGCCCCAGCTTAATAACATTTCATAGTGCTTAGTAGGTGGCATCACCGGAACAAAGCGGGAGGACCGGGGCCTAGTAGCATGCACACACACACACACATCCGTAAACACGTCCTTTTGCAGCTTAGTGGCCAGGTTCATGGTGGTTTACAAGACGCCGACCATTGTGAGCACCGACCTTTTTGATCTTGAGAAGATCGGGGCCCTGGAGCATGTGGCCATATGTGGCCCTGGAGCAGCTGGTACCTGAAAGGTCCCCCAAAGAGGTCAAGGATGCCATGGGTTTTCTGGAAGAACCCTCATGAATGCTGGGAAGATCCATGCAGTAACTAAGCTGCTAGACTGAGCCACTGAGTTGGACTGGATGTACTTCTGGCCAGCCAGCAAGTTTGTTAAACTCTTGCTGGTCTACTGCCTGATGACCTTGGCAGCTGGTACCCCTACGTAGTCAGACTCCGTGAGAGAGTCCGTGAGACAATGCCACGGGTCCATTGATCAGCTGGCCGTCTTGGACAACGCTGCCTCCCTGGCTTGAACCAGCAGGTTTGATGCACGTCTTGAGTTTGCTTTTCCCTCTTTTTCCCGAACTCCTGTGGAATGTCGCAATGGAATCTCAACACCTTTGACATTCCATTGGGCTTGCAGGAAGCCTATGGAAGTCGCAAGTGTATGAAACACGATGAAGCGGTTTCCGTGCCTTCCAGCATCAGCGAGCCACGACTGGCCGCCCTTTCAAACACACCGTCCGTCGCCCTCCATCCATGGAGATGCAGCTGGACTCGGAAAGGTGAAGCACATGAAAAAGCACAAGCCCTGGTTTCAACGGTACTGACATTCATGTTCCCTCATTTGTTCTTCTCGGAGGGCGAGAGACGCTCACGCATGTTTTTTTTTTCATGTTTTGTTGTTATTGTTCTTTGATGCGCCCCCCCTGAAATATCACATGGAGTGGAACTCTTAAAGCACTGATTCTGGAGCATAGAGCATAGGCCCAGCCAGCAGAAGTGTGAAATACCGTGTGAAATCCGTAGCGCAGCCAGCAGGGTGCATTTCATTTATTTTTCTTTTGGCAGACAGACTCTACTGACCCCTCAACCACCCAGGCAGCAACACGCATCGGATTTCGGCAACACGCCGCACCTGCAGGATTCTTTACAACTCAGATGGCTCAGATGCTACGACACGACAACAGGGGATTCCTCGGGCGTTCGCCATGCCACTCTCCAGTCACAGCCTAAAACCTGGCAACTTGGTCGCTGGCCGATGGGTTATACCCTGCAAAGTGCAAGGAATCCCCCAGTTTCAGGTGCACAAAGAGAGTAATTAGTGACAGCAGGTGGATCTGGAGGGAATATCGGTTTAAGTTTAACCATACCGTATTCATTGTGTTCTAGCGAATTCTAGTGGCCTTGGTATGCATCGAGTGTATGTTGGTTCTATTTTTGAATTAACCTAAGTACCACTAGACTAGATTCTTAGATGCCGTGTCGGGTGTGAGCCAACTAAGATCACATTACACTCCCTGAAATCATCATGGAATTGGATGGCCTTGATTTTGGTTGACCATTGCGCTTTTTAAAACCAAACAGTTTGTGCCATCCATCCACTTAGCATGGTTCTCTCATTGAGTAGAATCATGATTATTACTGTACATGATTTTTCCACTTCTTCCACTTCCATGATGATCATCATCATAATGATCACAATGATAATAGCAATGATAATGGTAATGACAAATTTGCTTATACAATAATAAACAACAATAATAGTCGTAGTAGTAGGAGGCAGGAGGTGCAGTGGCTTCCAACGTGTGATGTTCCCTCCACACCATTGGGTGGGACAACTTGAGACCGAACGACTTTGTACGCCGGCCTTGGCGTACAGCCGCCAGCCGTGGCGGTGGGTGAATGGACAGAAAGACGCAAGAGCTTTTAGTTGGCTGTTGTGTGCACCTTTGGTAGCACCACTCGAATCTAAATGTGTATAATAGAGTTCTGTCGGGCGCGCCAGCCCATAGATACAAGGAGCCAAAAAAATGCAAAAGGTAGAGCAAACAAAAAACGCAAAAACAATGTAGCTGTGCGTGTTTGTCGCTTTTTTTTTCACTTTTTTCGCTTTATTTTCACATGTGTTTGTTCGCTTTATTTTAGCATTTATTTTCCATTTGTTTCGATTTGTTTCGCTTTTTTTCCTAGGAGCGTGCAGCAAATATTGCTGACGGGTAAAAGTTCTCATAAGTGCAGAAGTGGTACCAGGAAAAAGAACAAAACACATGCAAAAACAAAGCAAATTGCGCTGCCTTTGCATTTTCATGTGCCTTTGTTTTGCATTTTTTCCCTCTTTTTGTTTTACAAAAAGAACATATTTGATGGTTGGTCATGTATGGCTGCCATTGCCCAACATAATAATAGAGAGAGAGAGTCTCCCCAATTATTGCCAATGCTCATTGATGGTGACCGACAAACAGATTGACAAGTGAACTCCATCCAAGTTGTGGTGCTTATTGTGTTTGAAGACTACCTTCACTACCTGGCCAGTTGTGTGGTTTGATGACTCCTGATCCAACCACCCCCCCAAAAAAAGTTGAGTGTATAGTTTTATATAGGCCTGTCCGAGAACGACTAAACCACTAGACCAAACTGGCACAGGTAGGGAGTCGGGGGCTAGACACGATCATTGCCCGGTTCAAAGGTCTATGAGGGATAGACCTAATTGTTGGGGTTCATTACGGCTCTAAGGGCTGAACTTAGGACCAAGAACTGCTCAGTTGGCGTCCAAGTTGAACAAGCTCTGTCTCTAGTTTTAATGAGGGGAGCTGAGGCCGAGCTACCTTGACCTCAAATTCGCGGCGAACCGAGGTGATTTGGAACTGGACCTCAAGGCCACCTTCACCGACCGCAGCCCAGGTGGTTCGCCCAAGCCTCCCGCCTCGCCGATCTCGCCGTCGCCTCGACCGTCTGCGGGGCCCAGCGTCGCAGCCAGCGGGTTGCTGGGCGCGGTCAAGGAGCAGCACAGGTTCAGTTGAGTGGACAAAGTATATAGAGCAAAAATAGAGTATATTGTATCAAACTCAACAAGTAATTAACTATATATATATATAGATCTATTTTTATTTAATCCAAGCATATATGAATATGTATACTACGTTACTTACATATACATATACATCCCCGCGGATTGAACACGGTGCGTGCGGTTGTGGCCCAAGTCATCAAGCACCCATTCATGAAACTATAGTATATCTCCTGGGCCCTTGCCTTTAGATATGTTTCTTATTGGTGTTTTATTGAAACTGCCATGTGGCCACTATCGGCAAACTGTCTCCAAATCACCTACCAATGACGACCTGCTCTTCGGCAAAATGCTCAAGAGAGTCAACGTCTCACAACCGATGAGGATTTTTACATATCTTTACTGTAGGATCTTTTGCACGAGTCGACCAATCGCTTAAACGGTCAAGATACCAACAGTCAATGACAAAAAGTTCAACAAGGGAGAACAAAAAGCCAATCACGACATCAAATGCAAAAGTAGCATGAACAAGTGAAACTGACAAGCAGAAAAGGACAAGTGACGCATGACATGGGCTTGAGCATACAAAAGTGCTGGTAAACAAAACGTTTAAAAACGCCAGCGGCCATTGGGTGCACAAAAGCAGCTATCAGCTCCTGCCCCTGACCCCACCCCACCTCAAACCAACACTGTTGCAAAATGAGTACGACTACACGTACGTTTTTCAAGCCGTTAGCATGTACATGTACATCTGTACGCCACACAATGCATTAGAATCCGCAACCGTCCATTTGAGGTTCACGGTATGTTCAATGTTGAGCGTGAAAACAACCTCTATGACATGGAGGTGGTGCACCCCTTTAATAACACAAATTCAGGGCCCCCACTTACAGGGCGTCAGGTGTTGATTCTACAGCGTTTTTCTCGTGTTGAATGCCTACTATTGACGTGAAAAAGTGACATGAATGTGGCATGATTTTTGCTATCATTTTTCTATCATGTTTCGCAAATGAATTGACAGGTCGTTGGATTCCAGGACGGTTCAGACTAGTCTACATGTTGTTTGCTGCTCGAGCCTGCGAGCTGGGCATATGCAAACCTTGTTGCTCCTAAGATCTCTTCAGTGATAATGCATGTCTATGCTACAAGCCACTGTGTTGCCTCTTGCATCACGCGAGAATGTAGGGTCGATTCTGCTAATTTTTCAGACGGTCAATTCTTTCATTCTAGGGTGCTCCACTTTGCTTCGTGGGTGTCGAGATGGTATGGTGGGCATCTGACCAGGAAAAGCAATGTATCCAAAGCGGGCAGTTAGGCAGGCACTTCACGGACAGTTGACGAATGCCCTTTGTTACTAGTAGCATCTAGTAGCCTCCTTGCTCCTAGTAGCGATGCCCTTGTTACTAGTGGCGATGCCAGGAGTATGTCCCGGAAATCGCCCACTTGACACTTCCGCACACGGTGGCGTCTCAGTGGCAGCTGCGGCTCAGCACTGAGTCCCAGCTTGCCGCGAAGGGCAAGAATGCAGGGCAGGAGTTCCCGGTGGCTTGGCTTTGGAACGAAGCAGGTGTGGTATGGTGCGGTTACTTAGAGCTTATTGGAGAAAAGCAGCTTGTAACTTGCAGGTACTTTGGGAAAGGTAGGAACGTTGATATGGTTTTGGTGCCAGAAGTTGACAAATCCAAGGTCACCTGGTATGGCCGAGCACTGCTGGAGCTTTGCGGCCCTTGTGTCGCCTGGAGTTGTTGAAGGAGTAGTGGCTTTTAACAATTAGGGTACCCAACCAAGTGGGATGGCATTATAGATCCGGATTCAAAAAAACAGTCGACCTGTCTGCCCGTCCCACTGGTGTGGCTCGGGCGCTAAACATCGTCGAGCAACGTCGAAGTTGGACTGACGTCCAAGCCGGCATCGGACGGAGTTTCCCTGTGAAGCCAAGCCAGTAGAAGTTGGAACAAAGCAATCGTTGCCCGAGTCAATTATCCACTCATTCAGCGCTTGTTAAGAGGAATTTGTTGTTCTCTTTAAGAGGGCAGGAGTTGGTCAGTCGTCAACACGAACCTTGTTTTGTCTCATTGTAAGAGATGTGGCGACCATCCTCATTCACGTACACATTTCCTCCTGAAGCCGCTCCCTTTTCCACCCCATCTCGGCGGTGCGATGGATCTTGAGGCCATGGAACT